TGCTAAGATCAAGAACAGCTTGCCAGCATTAAAGCGTCTGGCACTGGTGTTGTTATTCATTTTTTTTCTCGGTGCTTCTCATCCTTCCAATTTCTATCTGGTCGTGAGTGTGAACTGCTGGTGGTTTGACTGCATTACATAGGATTTTCGCAAAAGGCTTTCAATAATCCGCTCAATGGACCTCACAATCCCCATGTGATCCCTCCATATCCCAGGGGTCTCCATGGTACCTCGGTTTAAGAGATCCTCGGTGTGGTGGTCTGACATCAAGCTTCAACCCTAAACCCTAAACTGTGAGGTGACTTCCGACGCTTTCCAAGATCTTTGACTCGTAGCCATGCGTGAGGCAATCTGCATTCACATCGGACAGGCGGGAGGGATTTCGACTTTAGGGTGGGTTTTATCAGGGAGTGCTACGGTCACCCACTTCTAGGTTGCCCCCCCTTTCTTGACGATGTTTCGGGCTGCTTCTCTATATGACTCTAGACCACTCTACGCCTCTACGCCACTCTAAAAGCTTTTGAGCTACTTTAGGCCTTGGGGCCGCTGTCATCATCAGCAGTTCCTGGTATGACGCATTGGCGATACCAAAAAATCCGTGTTGAACAGCAACACATGGCACGGCCAGCCGAAGTGAGCCAGGACAACTTGCAGGGAGAGACCGGGGTTGTCCAAAGTGAGGGTGAAAGGCAGAGCATTTTAAAATGTCTTCCAGAAAAGGGGAACCTCCCCAAAACTTCAGAAGGCTGACACTGTTTTGGGGTTATAGTCCCCCGTATATAAGTAGATAGAATATGGGGTATATGGGGATCTTGTTATAATATACTCAAAGCTGTATTCTAACTACTGAAGGGGGACTATACCAAGTTTGTCGAAAGGGTCTGGGGGCTCGCCTGGTAACCTTGCCGACAGCGAGCCTGAGCCGCTAGTCTGGGTTGCCGTTAAGGAACTTAAATTGAGTTACCATAATGGATGTGTATATATATATATATGAGCTATAGTCTAAACTCCTTGAAGGGGGGTTATATAGGGGATTATATAGGGGACTACTATAGGGGATATTAAGGGGGGTACTAGGAGTTTAGACGATGGCTCATATATAGAGATTAGTATGGTTTCCCTAATGTAGTAGCTTGAATGAAGTTCGGAAGTACGTTCCTTGACAGCATCCCAGGCTAGCATGTCGACGACCGAAATAAAAAGGTTTAGCGCCAGTAGTCTAAACTCTCTAAAGAGGGTTATATAGGGGATTTTGCAGGGGACTGCCATACAAAATGCCAGGGGATACTAGGAGTTTAGATTCTTGCTCAGATCCTGTAGTCAGCAATCTGCTCTTTCAGGCGTCCAGTGGCAGCATTTTTTGATAAAGATGGCAGCTCTGGACGGTTCGAGAAAGGGGGGGAACCTTTTCCCTGAACCCTAAACCCTAAACCCTAAGAAGGGGGTAGGAGAACAAACACCCTCTGAGTTTAGGTTTCAGGGTGGTTCAGGGCTCGCTGGGTTGGTGTTAAGGGACTTACACCAAGTTGCTATAGTACGGAACCCCGATTATCTTTGATATATACATATTATGGTAACTTGAATCCTAGACCCTAAACCCTATACGCCGATGTTATGGTAGCTTAACTTAAGTTCCTTAGCAGCAGCCCGGCTTAGGTCGAGCATGGCATAGACCCAGGTGCTGCATGTTGGAAAAAGGCTCTCAGGCTTTGGGTGGCGAAGAGCACAGCTTGTTTCTCGTTGTAGATATGGGCTGTGGGGGTAGAATATAGGGGTTATACAGGGATAATGAAAAATAAGAATGAAACTACTATTTAGGGTTTAGGGTTTAGCGTTAGGGTGTAGGGTTTGGGGCCATTGTACTTGAGAACTTTGAAGCCCTAAACCCTAGACCCTAAACCCTAAGCTCCAAAACCCTAAACCCTAAAACCCTAAACCCTAGTCAGGGTTTAGGGTTTATATAGCGTTTGTGGCCATGGTACTTGAGAACTTTGAGTGAGTGGCTGCCTGGCTTGCTTCTCAGGGTGGCTGGTCAAAGGAACTCAGAATAGGTTTAGGGTTTAGGGTTTAGGGATATAAGTTACCATAGTTGGTGTATAAAGTAGCTATTTTGGTTTCCCCCAAAATGGTAACTTAAACTAAGTTCCGTAAATCCCTAGATTTCCCCCGGTATCCATTTCATTTTCCATTTTCTTTTCCATTTGATTCTCCGTTATAGGGGGAAACTATAGCCCTAAACCCGAAACCTAAACCCCAGTTGTCAGGGTGGCGTGCAGATTGGCAATGCCTGCTGGGAGCTCTTCTGCCTGGAGCACGGCATCCAGCCGGATGGTCAGATGCCCTCCGACAAGACGACCCTGGGTGGCAGCACTGTAGGGGCCTAAATAGGGTTTAGGGTTCAGGTTTTAGGGCTCAGGGAAAATTACCAATATTATGTTTCCATATTCCTAGTATAATTCTGGTCTATGGTACCTCAAATGGACTTCAAAATTCTATAGATAATCATTTAAGCCCGTGTTATCTTGGAAGGATTTGGAGGCTTCCATAAACAGAGGGCCCCAACATATCCCCCAACATAGTTTAATCCGTGTTATAGTGGCTCCCCAAAGAGGCTCTCTAATTTTTTCGGAACTCCCATTTTGCGGTTGAAGGGCGTCTTTCTCGCCTCACACGGACCAGAGAGAGTTTTGCAAGTTTCTAGGGTGCATCAAGATATGGTTATGACAGACTTGGCCAAGAAACCTTTCAGCAAATCGCATATGCAGACCCCATGGCGGTCCAAGGTGTCCGTTTTAGGGCTTTGGGCTTATAGTCGCTTTTAAGTAGATAGAAGATGGAACTGCCCAATATCATAATGAGATTCTCATATACACCATTTTCTATCTACTTGAGGGGCACTTTGGGGCTTTGTTTATGGAATCGGCCTGGCAAGGGTACGTTTGCAGATCAGGCCCTGTTGACCTATGGAGGTTTCCAACAATCAGGGGTCCCTGGTTCAGGGTTTATTTTGGGGTTTAGGGTTTAGGGTTTGGGGGTTTATTTTGTAGGGCCTAGGGCTTGGGGTTTGGGGTGGGGGAATTGCGGTTTCGGGGTTTATGGGGGAGATAGGGGAGTTACAGGGCTTGCGTAAGGGTATACATGGATAGATGGCGTTTAGTGCTTCCACAAGTCCTACAACTTTGGGGTCTATATTGTGGCTCCCTATGTGCTAGGTTTGGGAACCCCATATCCCCCATAATGATGCTTGCTCTTTTTGTTACGCAAGAGTTGCCAATCTTTTGTCTTGAAATCGGTTATGCTGATCTGTAGTAACGAGGCATGGGGGAGGGAATGTGGTCCATTTGGCTGCGTTTGCGCAGCTAGACCCCAAAGTGTGAAGTGTTTCGGGGAGATGTCCTGGAGGTCCCCGAAAGCGGGCATGAAAAGGGGTTCTTCTGATGCTCCGGGTCGGGTACTGTGGAGGCTGTTTGGGACGCCATTCTGCAGCTTTTTAGGCACGCTGGAAGCTGTTTTCGGGCGCGCTGGAGGCTGTTTGCTGCCGTTTTGGCTGGTTTCGGTTTGCCCGCGCCCCAGGGCACAGACTATGTTACGAGGCTCAAATTTCCCTGCGCCTTGCCAGTGTTTTCTACATCCACATAGCTGACCATCCCAATCGTTGACCCTCTCGTATTTTTTAGGAATTGGTGTGGGGGTTGGATTTTTTCTTGGTCCGCGTCATCTATCAGGACCCTGGTCTTGAGAGTTGTTTGTGTACGTAGGTTTCCAACGTCCGAATGCTATTTGGCTGTCCGTGATATACAATAACCATAACAAGAAAGCTAACAGTGATAACATTAATGCTAACAGTTGCAAGAACAAACATTGATAATGATGAGGCAAGATTCCCAGCACCCTGAACCATCAACAGGTGCAACCACGTGGTGCGAAAACCTCCCCTTGGGTATTGATGACCTTACTGGGGGTTTAGCTGGGGAAGGAGGGGCTAGATATTATACGGACTGTATAGGCATTACATTCCCTCATTCCCTACTGAGCCCCGGTAATTGGCTAAGCCCGTGAACCCTAGACCTAAACCCTAAAATCTAAATCCTAAACCCTAAACCCTAAAATCTAAATCCTAAAACCTAAACCCAAATTGAAACCCTACCTTCATCCCAAACCCTAAGCCCAAAACCCCTAACAGTGGTTCAGGATCGGTGGAGGCGATGTGTCTTTGCTGAGTCTGGAGATGGTGTCCTCTTCACACCCCAAAAAAGTTTCAGGCTTTAGGGTTGAGGGACTTACCCTAAACCCTAAACCCTACAAGAACGACGCCTTTTGTTTAACAGGGCCTACATGGGGTCCATCTTACGTTGTGGAAGGGTAGCCTTGCGTTCGTGGCGCACCTTTCGATTTTTCGGAGCGGGTACTGTAGAGCTTTCTCCAAACCTTAGCCTGCAATTAGGGGTAGGTGAGGCACCGTTGGGAGAAACGTGCCAAGCACTCTGATCCCCCAAACTCCGAAGCTTGAATCGTGCTCCTAAAGCCCGCACCCTTTTACGTTAAACCCTAAGCCTTACAACCCGCACACGCTAAACCTTGCGGACTTTTAAGCCCGAAGCTGTGTCGTTTTGTGCTTTTTTCCCACAGCCTGTTGCCTCAACATTTTCTGGGTGATTCTCTCCATGTTTGAGCATATAGTTAATCTAGGGTTATATGGGGATAATATAGGGGGTTTCACAGGGATGATCTACAGCATATCAACAGTGTCGGTACCCTCACTATCGTCATGTCTAGTCTCATCCCTATTGCTGTCACTATAAGTGTCATTGTCAGTATGGATCCTATTATGCTTGGGTATGTAATTTTGACCCCGATTTTGAGAAGAAGCTATCTTGTGGCCAGTGTGCCAGAACCTCCTGTGGTGAGGACGCCTTCAGCTAACATTCTGCCTTTCAAAGGACGCTTTCAATACTTTCTTTTCGGAGACCGGTGCCGGCAAGCATGTCCCGCGCTGCGTGATGGTGGATCTCGAGCCCACTGTCGTGGAGCCTGGGATGAAACAGGGGTAGGTTTGATATTGGTGCTTCTTGAAGTCCTTGGCCCTGGTTCTTTGATATTGTTGAATAACTCACTCTGTCGCTTAAAAATATACTATCACAGATGGCAGTGTAAAGCAGCGTTTAGGTCTAGCCCTGCATGCTACCAGATGCCTTAGTCTAGTGAGCCCAAAAAGCGACATGATAGTTGAGAATGAGTGGAGTTTGGAAACTCTCCAAAAAAGTCTTCAAACAGTCATGTTATGTTAGTCATCGGATCCTGGTTTTGGGTGTTGGGTTAGCACAAACTAAGGACACCCCAGGTGCCCCCATATAAGGCTCTTTTTTGTTCGTGGAGGACTGCTCATACAAGACCTGTACGAGGGTAATCCGGTTACACGATTTAGGCTTCTTCTACGGGTATCCACTGGATAATTACCTACCTAGAACTTTCCTTGGCATCTTAAAACCTAAGGGGCTTAGGGTTTAGGCCCTAATTCATGGTTTCAAGCATTTTGAGCTGCATAAGAGCAACCTCCCGTCGATGATGGACAAATCCTGCACGACCGTAAGTGATACATGCATACATACATACATACATACATACATATGTATGTACGTACGTATGTATGTATGTACGTACGTATATATGTATGGCATATATATATATATACATCGCTGCATACATGAAATCATTTTGGGCAAGGCGTATCTTAACACTGTCTTCCGCTAAACCTTATATATCCCTATCCATCCTTTTTTGTCTCCCATACATATATATATACACACACACATATATATATATGCACCTATTTTGTCTGTCTCTATGTCCCCGTGACCATCCAAGTCGGTGCAAAGGACGAAGTACGTACTGGCACCTACCGGCAGCTCTTCCACCCGGAGCAGCTTATCAGCGGCAAAGAAGATGCAGCGAATCTTGGCTTATTGTAGGGTTTAGTGTTTAGGGTTTGGGGTTTAGGGTTTAGGGTGTAGGGTTGGTAGAAAAGAAGTGGAATGGAAGCTCCAGCCCGTATAGGGCGGTACAGGGACCATAGGGATTATATAGAAATACATAAAGCCCGACTGATGGTGTTGCAGAATTCGAAAGAGTGAGAGCAGTATCCCCTTATCATCCTTGTCTTTTTACAGTATAGTGCACCACCCAAACACCCTGTAGAAGCTAAAAAAATACTGATTTATCCCCTTGTCATGTTTGCATGTAACCAACACTCCTATTCTAAGTTTTTAGATCCCTATATGGCACATTTGCTTCTGGCTTTCCGTGGTTCTATCGGGGGCTTCTGCCAAGAAGGGGCCTGGGAGACCCGGGGATGTATAGAGACTGCAAAAGGAATATGGTAGTTTCCCAAAACAGGGGGACCCCCAATTTGCGGAACCCCCTATAGGCTACCTTCTTCAGGCGTTAATAGGATTTTGAACAGATTGCGGGGCTTTGGGTTCTGGTTTATATGTTTGTTTCTTGCTGACCCCCGGGTCTAGCGCCTCTTCTAGGGCGGAGATCCTTCAGAGAGGTCGGGGACCGCGGGGGCTGCACTAAGGGTCCTTTGACCCGATGAGCACCCCGGCCCCCTTGCCCCTATTTGAGCGCCAGTGCAACTCCTCTCTCCTCTTCCTTGCTTCGTCGGCCGCCTTCTTGTGCTGTTGAGTTTGTCATTTTCCATTGTGTTGCTTTATTCTCTCTTTCACCGGTCCCCTCTCCGCCATTCCTGCTCTCTTCTTCGTGGGGCCTTGGGTGCTGTTGGCCGTTTCCATTTCCTACACTCCTGATCTTGTTTTGTTTGGTGGTGCTTTGGTTGTCGCATCGTTCTGGGTTTGAGGCACGCCTTTGCGCGCTATAAGTCCACGTCCCGGTCCTGGCCTTGAGGTGTCGCCTTCTCCTGGGTTTGGGGCTGCCTTTGTGCGCTTTCGGCTTGGGGCCTTTCTGTGTGCTTGCTTCATCTTGAGCTTTCGGCGTGCCTTTGTTCGCTGGTGGTCCTGTCCCGTACTTGGGTTCTTGCTGGTTTCTCGGTCTGATACGGGATATACTGGATATAATATATATATATATGTACATACTCTGCTTTGCTCCTTTGCTGGCTGCCGCTGTT